TGTGTTGCAGATGAAGAAAGTCGTGGCTGTGCCTCCAAGAATGGGCCGAGGGTGCAGGTAGGCGTGTGAGGAGGCTGGGCTGATTGGGGTGGAGGAGCATGGTGGGAGATAGCAAGGGGAAGCTGGGGAAGGAGGGAGTCAGTTGATGAGGGAGCTGGAAAAGCCAGGAGGGGGAATGCGGGTTTTTCTAGAAGGAGGCCCATCTCAGGCAGGGGTTAGGAGGAAGGAAAGGCAAATGTTGTATCCAGCCTAGATTCCTTTTGAGCATCCCTTAAGTCATTCCAACCACATGCTCTTCTCCTCAAAACCAGGTCTGTGGGCCAGTGCCGGTGGCGAGGGATCTGTTTCCAGTCCACAGTGAGGGAAGCACGGGAGTGAAGAGGAAAGAGGGGACAAACTGGGAGCAGCTGACAGGCCAAGGCATCCAAGCACATGGCCAGTAGCCTTAGCCAGTCAGAGGGTCTGAGATCAGGGGCTGTTTACCTGGTGCTGAGCCTGGCAGGGGGGTGGGTAGGGAAGGGTAAAGGGGTGGCGAGGCGAACACAGGCTGGGTTCTACCAAGCCCAGTGGGGGGCCCCGTCAATCCTGGAAGGGTGGATGATGCCAGTCCTTCACCATGCATGGCTTGAGGACACTGTCCTAGAGCGCCAGCCCCTGGCCCAGCATGCCAGCCTCTCCTGCAGCCTCCACACACAGCCTGTTCTCAGGTTGGACACCCAGTGAGGTGGCTGGCCTGCTTTTAGGGGCAAATGTGCACACATCTCCCCTCCCTAAACACTCCCCGCTCCAATGGTGAGATACTTTCCTGTGAATGATGCTTGGGGACCTAGGCCGTCTGAGGAAACAGAAGAGCGAGGTCAACTTTCTCTCCCACTCAAGAGTGTGTTGTTCTCTTGCAATGGAATGGTGGGCGAGGTGCCCCATTGCTCTGTCCCTTTCATTTATTTACATTTTGCTTTTCTCCCTCTCTCTACCTACAGTTGAAATCTCACAAGTTAAGCGTCTGTGTGATTTTGCTCCATGGCAGGAGTTATGGAAGTAAAAACTGTGTGTCCACCACGAACCAGGCCCCGGGATCATAACTTTCCATGGATTTTTGTCATCGACTCTTCACCTCAGCTCAAGGAGGAGGATGCTATTATCGTATCAGTTTGCACTTGGGGCTATTGGCGAGAGTTGTTTTAACTCTTCCTATCCCTTGTGTTATGAGTTGAATTACTCACTTCCTGCCCCTGCAAATGCTGTGTTGAAATCCTAACCCTCAGTACCTCAGAAAGTGACCTCATTTGGAAAGAGAGTCTTTATAGATGTAACACACTAAGAGGAGGTCATTAGGGTCGGCCTTGACCAATATGACTGGTGTCCTGACAGGAAGGGGACATTCAGACACAGGTGCACACAGGGATGACCACGAAGGAACACAAGGGAAAGCCACGCTAAGACAGAGGGTTGAACTGTTGCATGTACAAAGGAAGGAATGCACAAAAGTATGGCAGCCACCCACCAGAAACAAGAAAGAGGTAAAGAAGGACGCTTGCCTATAGGTTTTAGAAGGAATATGGCCCTGCCAACACCTGACGTCAGACTTGTAGTCTCCAGAACTGAGAAGACAATCATTTCTGTTGTTTGAAGCCACCCAGGTTTTGGTATGTTGTTACCGTAGCCGTAACAAATGATCACCTGGATCCAGCCAGGCCTGAAGCCACAACTATTTTAGTCACACAAACCCCAAACTCTTCTTTTCTTTCTCTTGAGCCGATGTCCCCCACTTGTAACCAGAGAGTGACTGTGTCAAATGGTCCATGTTGTCACTGCAGCTTTGTGCTTGGTATCTGACCTGTTGGCCATCTTTTCTCACCTCTGCCTGTGAGACCACCCCCCCCCACCCCCCATCCCCTGCCCCGGCGCCTTAGCATGGGGAGGGCTGCAGGAAGTTTGTGCTGCTGAGTCACGAAGTGAAATGACTGTTTAGGAATATTGCAAAAATAATAGCCTCTTAGAACAGTTTGATGTCTTTTTGTTTACATGTTTCCCCAAGCAGGGTAATGAGGTTGGCGTCTCCGTGTGGCCCGTGGTTTACTCAGCACGACCAGGGAAGAAAGGCCCCTCTGGGCTTCAACACCTTTCAGAGGGAAATTCATGCTGTTCCTCTGGGCTAAGGCTTCACGTGAGTACAGAAAATGGCATGGGGGAGGTGATCAGAAGCCCTTTTGCCAATCAGTCTTTCCAGACCTCACTCCCAGAGTGGCAATTAGGTCTGCTACGAGAAGGAAACAAGTTATCTTAGTAGGTGGGTAACCTTTGATCCTACCGGAAAAAGAATTAGCTCATTGGGGACTACGCATTTTAAATTAAAAATTGGCATTTTTATAAAGAGTGTATAATTTTAATATTCTATTCTGTGCCCTCAACGCAATTGAAATGACACACCAAGCATGCACTCAATTTTGTTCTTAAAAAAAAAACCAATCTCGTGTCTCACTAGAATTCAGCATGTTTTTGAACCAACAATGTTAAGAGACAGCGTTTCTGAAATTTAAAGTAGAACTTGCAAGAGTGAGAAGCTTATTTAACTTCATTGAACTCTTACTGAGTATCTTCTAATGGATATGGACTGGACAGAGAATGGAAAACCAAATAATCTATGACTCTTGCCCCTGAAAAGCTGTCAGTCCATGACAAGTATGATAAGGGCTTGAATTTTGGAAAGAAATTTTGGAATGCTTTGGGATGTAAGAAACAAACAAACTAACAAAAATCTGACTCAACTCACCTAAAAACTCACATGACTTAAGGTAGTTTTGCTTCCAGTTTAAGCTGGATCCAGGGCCTCAAATGCTCCGACCAGGATTCAGTTTCTATCTTTTCTCTATCTTTTCTTTTCTTTTATTATTTTTTTTTAAAGATGAACTTTATTGTCAAATTGGTTTCCACACAACACCCAGTGCTCATCCCAACACGTGCCCTCCTCAATGCCCATCACCCACCCTCCCCTCCCTCCCACCCTCCATCAACCCTCAGTTTGTTCTCAGTTTTTAAGAGTCTCTTTCCTCTATCTTTTCATGTCTTCCCCATTCTTAGCAGCTCCTCTCCACTCCTCTTGCCCCAGCCCGTACTTTCAGCCCCTCTACTATTCTGCTCCCTGGGGATCAGGAAGAGGTACGAGAAGATGATGCATTGAAGTTTGAAGGCAGAATTTGCACTGGATTGACAATAAGCGAAGCACATTCCAGCAGAGAATATCTTGAAAGGCATGGTCTGGGAGCTTCACATAGTTTGGGGCTGCCGGAAGAGAGAGTTCATTTCAGGGAATATGAGTTACACTGGGCGCCGAGGGGCCAATGATCTCTGCCCTGAGCCCATTGGAGGAGGTAGCAATTTATTCTGAATGTCCTGGGGAAGGATTCTAAGCTGGGTGTGCCATGATAAGATCTGCACTTTAAAAAGATAACTGAAAAGCCTGACTCAAACCAGTCTAAACAGTCAGGAAGTTTATTATCTTATGTAACTGAGTTCAGAGGGAGGGTGGGTCCAGGCTTGGCCTGATCGGCACTCAAAGAGGTCCTCAAGTACGTGATTCTTTTGTGTTTCTCTGCTCTGCCACCCTCAGTGTGAGCTTTAACCCGAGTCTGGCTCCGCTCGGGGTCACAGAATGGCTGCCTGTGGCCAGCAGGGCCATATTCAGTGTCCTGTGTGCATCCAATAGTGGGGGTCAGGGGAAGGGGGGACAGTGAGGGGAAGAGCGGGGAGAGACAGGGAGACAGAGATAAGAGAAGTCAGAGAGGGAAGGGGAGGGGATGGGAGGAGAGAGAGGGAGAAAGGAGGCTAGAGGAGGAGACGGAGGGGGCAGAGGGGGAGAGAGGGTGCGAAAGAGGGAGAGAAATTATCTGCAGACTCTTAACTTCTTCCCAAATGGATTGACCAGGAATTGGGCACTGAGTATGGGACACTGGGAAACCAACCATCCACATAGCATGTCCCCAGTCCTTTAACTCACACCCAGGAGTCCACTGTGTTTTGGAATTTAGAATTTTTGGATTGGGGGAACGGTGCCTGTGACTCTACACCCTTCCCTCCCCACCTGCCTCTGGGGACTCTGAGGGAGTGGCCCATACTCAAACAGCCCTACAGGAGGTGCCTAGATCCTTGCGCCCCAGGGATAATCCCCTAAACACCGTTTAGGGCAGCTTTGCGGCCGGTGAGTCACAAGCTTGTGGTGTGCCTCCTTTCTGGGTGTAGGAGTGTAGGAAGGAGGGTAGGGTACCCGGCGGGCTCAGAGAGGCTGCTTCCGAAGCCATTTCTTGGTGATGCAGGATGAGGGGAAGGGGGGGGCGGTGGCCGTGGGAATGGAGAGCTCAGTGGACGCGGGATATTCAGGGGAGATGATGATAAGGCAAACGTGAAGACCAGATTACCTGGAAAAATAGCAGAGTCCTTCTTCTGCCACTAGAGGTCGTGAAGAATTGAGACTAAGTTCATAGATGGCTGAAGTGTTTGCAGGTCGTTTGTGTGGAATCATCCTCAGGACAAAGAGCCGGAACTTCTGTTTGTGGCTATGTCTCAGACACGAAACCGTAAGCTGTGTATTTCCCTCAACGCCTGTGGAAGTGTATTTACGTTGTGTCTCATAAATGCATATGTGCAGTCTTAAGAACTTAAGTGTTGAGATACATTAGCATCCTGCACTCAGGTGGGCCTTGCCTGGGAAGGCCCCTCTAGGGCTCCCCCTTCGCCATGGTCTGTGGGTACAGGGGAGCGGTACCTCCCGTTGCCAACAGGGCCAGCGAGAAGAGGTAAAAGACAGGGCAGGTTATTTAGATGAAAGTGTGGAATTTGGGTCACAATTAGTGGCACCAGAGGATTCCCTGAGGTCCCTTCTTTAGCCCGCCATAAAGAATTCCTTACTTGCCAGCGCAGAATGGAGACAGAGGGCCAGGGCCCTATGGTCTAGGGCCGAGGGCTGGGTGTGGGGTGGGGTGGGACAAGAGGAAGCAATGGAAGCCATGTGAGGTGTGGAGGAAGTGCATCAGCCAGGACAGGAGGTTTTAATTGCCATTACTTGAACCACGCATGTGTAGTCCCTGTCAGAATGTTCCAGAAACACTTGAGCCGGGGGTCAGTTTTGGTTGCCGGACAGTGGTTCTCACCACGGTGAGGACAGTGACAAGGGACCACCACCAGGGAGGGAGCATCAAAGTCAGAAGGGTGCAGGTCCTCAGTCCAGTCTGAAGACTTTCTGAGGTATGTGGAGGGGGGAAACAGAGCCTAACAGAGTGGGGTGGCCTTCCGGAGGCCAGAGAGCCCTGTGGGGGCAGAACTGGCACGAGATCTGGTTCCCTGGCAGGAGGCCCAGGCTCTCACCCCTGTTTGACCCGGAAGGCAGGGCTGCAAGCCTGGTTAGTTGGAAGGACGAGCCAGAAGCAAGTGCTTCTTGCTGTTTCCACCCACATCCGAGCTGGCCTTGGCCCCTTCCAGGGTTCTGGGGCCTCCTGCCCTGATTTAAAACTCCTCTTCCCAGGGTTTCCACAGATCCTGACTTAATACCCTTCTGTTTTTTGTGTTTTTTTTTAAGATTTTTTTTTTTAATCTCTTTTTATTTTTGAGAGAGACAGAGATAGAGCGCAAGCAGGGGAGGGGCAGAGAGAGAGGGAGACACAGAATCCGAAGCAGGCTCCAGGCTCCGAGCTGTCAGCACAGAGCCCGATGCGGGGCTCGAACTCACGGACTGAGAGATCATGACCTGAGCCGAAGTCAGATGCTCAACTGACTGAGCCACCCAGGCTCCCCAACAGCCTTCTGTTTTTTTTTTTTTTTAAGATTTTTTTTTTTTAATCTTTATTTATTTTTGAGAGAGATAGAGACAGAGCAAGAGCGGGGGGAGGGGCAGAGAGAGAGGGAGTCACAGATTCCAAAGCAGGCTCCAGTCTCCGAGCTGTCAGCACAGAGCCCGACTCGGGGCTCGAACTCACGGACTGAGAGATCATGACCTGAGCCCAAGCCGGATGCTTAACCGACTGAGCCACCCAGGCGCCCCAACACCCTTCTGTTTACGGCCTCAGGCTGCTTTCTCTTTGGCTGGTCTGGAGACCCGGCTCCACACAGACACCTCACCCCAACTGCAGACACAGGTGAGAGCGACCTCCATCCTCCACCGCATGCCCGCCTGGGTCCTCGTGTGAACGTGGGCCTCCTACCACACGTGCCAGCAGCCCTCAGGGGCCACCTGTCTGGGTTCCTGTTATGTGCTGCTGACAGATGTAGGCCACGTTCCTCTCTGCCCCAGCTCGGGTGGACTGTCTCCCGCCACGCCCCTCATCCCATATGGTGGTGGCTCTCGGGGTCACGGTGGGAGCTAATGTACTCGCCCCGATGAGCCCCAGATTTTCCCCTTTACAGTGAGAATCACCCCAGCCCACAAAAACAGGCAGTTTGAAAAGCGCACACGTGACTGTGATCTAGCCAAGAGAATTAAACTGGAAAAAACCTGTTCATGTAGAAGGAGCATGGTGAGGTCCACTGGTAATAAACTAATAAAACATTCTGTAAATATTCCAGACCACGAGGTGGTCTGCGGCCGCTCACAGGAAGCTACGGGACCGGTAGATTTAATATACGGTCCCATAACGCCCAGAACACATTTTCCGGGTGGGAAGGAGCCCACAGAAAGATGAGGTGATGCTGTGCCCTCAGACAAATGCTCATCTGTCAGGGATGGCAGGCCCATTCGAGGCAAGATGTGATCATCGTAAACCCTTTATTATCATCTAACAAGAGGGTACGGATAAATTAGTTTGGGTATCAAAGTCATTTTTCGGTTGTTGCTGCATTCAGCATTTTACTAACCAGTATATTTAAAAGCTCTGCATGTGTAGTGATGTGTAGTGAATAGAATGGTTTCGATGCTGGGATTTATCCGCCAATGTGGGAGGAAGAAAAGAAATGTGGGTTAGAAAAAAAAAATCCCCTAAGATCCATGTCAGGATTGGTTTTTTTTTTTTTTTTTTCCTCCCCTGTACTATTTTTTTTTGCAGTAAAATATTGTTCATCCCTCACTCTGATCTGGAGCTACAGAGCTAGGGAGGATTTTCAAGGTAATTTGGAGCTGAGGACAGAAAAAGAAAAGACACTCTATCAGTCACTTGGATCTCCGGATAGTCATTTTTTATCCCATGCATTGTTGAATCTGCTTGTCCCTCTTGAAGCCTTTGGATGATTCCTGCAGACTCGGGTCCCTATTCTGGTCTGCAAGTGGTGACTTTGTGTCTGCATACGGCATTTTGCCCTCTTGCCTGGGATCCTGCCGCCTCCAGCAGAGAGAACTTCGGACCCTGTCTGCGAAGAGCAGGCCCCTCCGTGTGTGAGGTCTGTGCCAGTCACGTACACAGCACGCCCCACTCAGGTTATTTTCACTTTGGGGCAAATCTTGCCTCTATGAGACCCCAGAAACACTTCTTCCTGGGCCCCCTCCCTTCTTTCTCTGACCCTTCCTTCTCTAGGGCACAGTCAAGCGGACAAGCCCAGTTTGCATCTGTGAGAGGGGTTGCAAATGTCGACCAACTTTGCTAGCACGATTTCAGCGTGTTCCTTTAGTAAAAGGCCTGGTCTCCATTAGGGGTGAGGGTGTCGAGGGTGAACCTTATGGAAAATGCAGAAAACAGCACCTTGTTCCCCCCCCCCCCCACGTGGCGGCAGGGAAGCCACAGAGAGTGGACAGGTGAAGTCTGTCTCCTGTGCCCCATGGCTTCCTAGGTTTCAGCATCCCCCAGTGCAAACACAAGGACCCACGTGTGCACACAAGGACCCTGCAGCCGGAAAGTTGACCACAGCGTGGGCCGGTGTTTCCCAAAAAGCATGCAGCAGCACCCCTGGAGGGTTTGTTAAAGCCCAGGTGGCTGGGCCCCACCCCGTTTCGGATTCCATGCGTCTGGGACGTGGCTCAGGCACCTGCATTGCCAGCACACCACCCAGGGATGCTGGTGCTGTGGATCCAGGGACCTCACCTGGAGAACCACTGAGACAACCAGTGATGCCAAAAGTCAGGTGAGCTAAGTGCTGGGATGTTTGACCTATACATTTGCACCTGCTCGCCACAGCTTCTCTCCCACTTGCCGGATCGTCTACCTGGATTCTCCTCTGTCATGTACTCAGGGGTCTAAGGTTTACCCTACTTGCAAGCTAACCTGTTAGTCTATCACAGATTCGCAGGTGCTGGCAGAGGACGTGAGATGCCTGGGTCAGAGACAAAGGACAGATCAGAGCTTACAGCCAGCCAGAGCAGCAGCCCGAGTACCAGAGTTTACACCGGTTCCCCCAGCACCAACTCCCACAGGAGGGCCAGGTGACACACTGGCCCTGCGGTGGGCTGTGGTACAGGAAAGGCACCCCGTGCTTAGGGGGAACCTGAATCTTTTGTAATGGACAGTAAAGCTTACCTGACTTTTGCCCTGGAGGGAGACATTTCTTTATTCTACTGCCGGTAAAGCACCTTTGCTCCAGGGGTAGACACCGCCCCGATATTTCAAGGCTGTTTGCTACACAAATGTTCTGAAAAATATAGTCTGGAATGAAGGCTTCGTGCACCTCTTCTCTCGGGATGTGCAGAAACCCGAAAGACCCGTGGAGGATCGTCTCCAAACACGCTTGTCCTCCTTCTCGTTGGAAATTGCCAGAATGTAAGTGTAGTAGTCTCTCGGGGTTCCCATAACAAAATATCATGAGCTTGGTGGCTTAAAACAGCAGAATTTAATTTTCTTGTGCTTTTGGTGGCCAGAAGTCTGAAATTAAGGTGTTGGCAAGGCCGTGTTCCCTCTGAAGCTTGTAGGGAGGACCCTTCCTTGCCTCTTCGAACTTGTGAGAGCTCCAGGTGTTCCTAGGCTCGTAGATATAGCACTCGAGCCTCTGCTTCCGTTTCCACATGGTGTCCTCTCTGTGTTGTGTCTTCACACGGATTGTCTTCTTATGAGGACACCAGTCATATTGGATGAGGAGCCCACGCTACTCTAGTGTGACTTCATCTTCACTAACTACATCTCCAATGACTCTGCTCCCAAACAAAGTCATCTTCGCAGGCACTGCGAGTTCGAACTTCAACATACCATTTTGTGAAGGGGACACAGTTCAACTTATAACACGTGACAAGTGGGACTTGAGGTTGCTAATCAAACTGACCCTAAAATAAGCAGATTACCTGACGTAATCACAGACGTCCTTAGAAGCGGAAGAGGCAAGCAAAATAGTGCATCAGACTGATGAGATTCGGGAGGGACCAACCCTCCACTGCCAGCTCTGAAGATGGAGGGACCGTCAGCCAAAGAATGTGGGAAGCCTCTAGAAGCGGGAAGAGACCAGGAGTCAGTTGCTCCCTGGGAGCCCCCAGAAAGGAGCTCAGCCCTGCCGACACCTTGGTTTTTAACCCAGTGAGGACTTCTAACCTACAGAAATATCAGACAATAAACATGCGCTGTTTCCATGCACCAAGTTGGTGGCAATTTGTGAGAGCAGCATGGGAAATGCTAGAGCCATCAATCGCAATACAGTTGGGATACCACAAATCCATTGCCCCAGCTAGTTCCTTTATTGTCCTCTACGCCACAAATTTCATGTGAACGTTGCCGTTCCGAATCCCATGACTGTTGCGTGTATAACTATTTCTGAATCTCAGAAAGAAGGAATTTTGCTCGGAGCGCCAATTTCTCTCTCTCCACCCGTCTTTCTCCCTTATTTAGAGTCTTGACCATCACGGCACCACTCCCAGGTGACTGAAATCGCAACGCCGCTTTACATTGGGCTTTGCTTTGCTTTTCAATTAAAATCTTTTGTTGGTAGAAGACAGGAGTGCTTGCTTGTTTAATGTGTGTGTATCGAGCCTGATGACTCCCTGTTTGTCTAACAGGAGCTCAGGAAATCAATCAATATTTGTGATGAAACAACACCTCCTCCTCCGTGTGCACAATGGCTCGGAAGGTTTGAGTTGTTTAGGTTGCCGCGACTCGGGCCGCTTGTTTTCTACGTCCTTCGCGCTTTGGGGGAAGGGACCGGATCTTATTCACCTTTGCATTCTCTACAGCGTGGAGCTCATACATTTTAGACTGTCGCTAAATAATGCTAAATGATCGAAGATGGGGATGGTTGTTTTCTGGAGATGTTTTCTCGTGTTTTGGCAGCCTTGATTTCCTGTATCTCTTTATTGTTTTCTGTTCTCCTGGTATCCCTCCAGTGGCCACCTCATCGTTCTGTGACCAAGCTTCCTGAGACAGAACAGAGCACTCCAGGTATGGTCTCATTGGAGCCTCTGAGCCGTGAGGTAATGCTCGTCTTCATAATGCTACCTTGTTCTTGCCTGGCACCTTACAAATACATTCACTGCTGGTGAAGAGCGTGAGCGCGCACACACACACACACACACACTCACTCACTTCCAAGAGCGGAGCGCAAGTAGGTTATCTGCCCCTTCAGAAAACGGACAACTGCCAGCCAGGTCCCTCCACGTTTCGTCGAGGGATCCACTTGACGAAGGGAATAACATTTTGCCTTGAAATTTTAGAACGCCTGTCATCTCGGGTCTCAAAGTACCGGTGGAAACTTAAGTTTGCCTTTGTAACATCGCCATGGGAACAGCACCTTGGCTTTTGAAGGTGACCCATTACTTAGCTTCAGGGTGAGGTGGGAGGCTTTTGGGAAAAGTCCACCCGGAGGGGTGGGGCTTCTGAAAGAGGATCCAGAGTGACATCAGTGAAAGAGGGTTCGGGAACGTGGCCGCCAGGGAGGGCACAATTGAAGCGCAATCTGTTTGAAGGAGAATGTGATTTTTCTAAAAGAACCAGGCAATTACGGGCAAATATCAGATAATGAGAGTTTTCTGACCTCTGAGGAGGTTTGGAGTCAGTTGTAGCTCACCTCTTAACACTATCCAGAAATGTGTGGTCGAACGGCCTCCGGGTTCCGAAAAGAGAACGAGGGTTTGGATTTGCACAGAAGTTCCCACCCGAAAGTTGAGGTGTCTGAGTTCAGCCTGGCATGGAGGACACTAATCTGTGAAGGTGGGAATGTTGTGAAAAAATTCCTGACATAAATTATAGCAGAAAACCTGAATTTATGCCGTCTTTCATCGGGCTGCTTTCCTGCTGGCTAATGCTTCAAATATGCTCCCAGGGTCCTGATACATCTAAAAACACGAGTTTCAGGGCTTTCTTTCTTTTTCTTTCTTTCTTTCTTTTTTTTTTTTTTTTTGTCTTGCTAACACATGCATATGCCCTTTAACTCACCAAAGTTTTTGAAGGAGGTGTTTATTAAGATAAAAGAAAGTTCACTGACAGGACACAGCAATATGCCCATCAATGCAGGCCAAATTCATCTACCATATGCTTGGGCAACATTCAGTCCAAAAATGGTTCAGGCCAGACCAGTGAGTCCTTTGGTTTTGGATGTTCAAGGAACTGGCATCATGGCCAAATGAAAACATAATTTGCAGCCTCTTGTGAGCGTTACAGCCTGACGTGGTCATGAAGAACACCAAGAACATTAGGACTGGTTCAACGTAATGGATCGTACCAACGCCATACTGAACCATATTGGAACATGATGCTCAAGGAAAAATCAGTCATACTGATCTTGTCTTTATTTAAAATTGTGATGTTTTGCTCATGGTGGACTTTGGGCATTAATTCTGATTTATTAAAAGGTTGCACTAGGGGCGCCTGGGTGGCGCAGTCGGTTAAGTGTCCGACTTCAGCCAGGTCACGATCTCGCGGTCTGGGAGTTCGAGCCCCGCGTCGGGCTCTGGGCTGATGGCTCAGAGCCTGGAGCCTGTTTCCGATTCTGTGTCTCCCTCTCTCTCTGCCCCTCCCCCGTTCATGCTCTGTCTCTCTCTGTCCCAAAAATAAATAAACGTTGAAAAAAAAATTAAAAAAAAAAAAGGTTGCACTAAATACTATTTGCCTTGACGTCTGAGTTTTTTGGCGTCCCCTTAAATTTTGCTGCAAAGGCAAATGAGGCACCTTAGTCTTAGCGGGGGGGTGGAGATAAGCATTAGCTCCACCCCCTCCTGAAGCCCCACTGAGATAACTGTAATGAGTCTTTAAAAGTCACAAACCCACAAAGGCAAAGAGAATTAGAGAAGACCTTGGAAGGTCGAATCGGATGGAGAAATGGTACTTGACCTAGCGGACTGGAGAAAAGGACACCCCTCACTGGGAGTGGCAAATGCTGAGAAACAACCTTATTTCTATGACGAGACTCACTTCCTCCCACACACTAACTCTTCAAAGTTGGTGGAAGTAAGTGCTACTGAGACTGTGATTGAAAGAGCCTTCTTTAAGGGGTGGCTAGATTCAGCAGCAACCTGGGGGTTTACTTTCTGGAGAGAGTAAACTGAGGCTGTCTGATCTGGGAGCACCAGGTGCAGCTAAAATAAGGATAGCTTATTGGGATGCATAAGATGGGAGCATAAGAGGTAGTTTGCAAGTAAATGTTCAAAATTCCAGTCTCCTTCCCATTTTAGGGTGGGGACCCTGGAAGCCAGCTCTATACCCTTCAGGCACAAGATTGGAAGTGTCCTTTCTGGGGAGCCTCACCAGCAGATGAGGACTGGCCCCAGGAGCTCCCAAGAACCTGGCCCAGCCTGATCATCCTGTAGTAAAGACCATGGGCCACAACCCCCAAAAGGCTTCCAGTCAGCCCTTAGTGGCTCCTTCTTACACACTGACCACCAAGGATCATCAGGCAAGATGCCCAGGGTGAAGTATATCCCAGCAATAACAAAGAGCGAAGCAACAGGAAAAAGTGCACCTTGTAGAAGCAAGAGACTACGCAGACAGAAGAAGAGAACAGAATAACCTCTGAGAGGTAAGAAAAGATACTGCATCCATAAAACAAGAATAGTATCTAATCTAAAAGGAATACACAGGGTACAAAAGAAACCCGAGAAAATAAAAATATGATAGCTGAAATTTAAAACCCGGTAGGAGAGCTGAAAGGTAGTGTTGAAATCTTCCATAAAGTAGCATAAAAAGATTAAAAAAAATTAAAGACAGGGAAAAATAAGAAAATTAGGGAATCAATCCAGGTAACAAGAATCCAATTAGTAAATTATTGGAGTGGAAACAGGAGGAAGTGGGAAGGAAATTATTTAAGAAATAATAGAGGAATATTTCCTAATGGCAAAGGACGCTATTTTCTAGAACAAAAAAAGCCCACCGTGTACCCTGTTCAAAGTATGAAAACGATGCATGCCAACCAAGCCACGTCACTGAAGAATTTCAGAATGCTGGGGACAAAGAGAAGACTCAAAGCACTGACAGTGACAAGCAAGTGGTTCACAGATAAAAAAAATCAAGAATCAGAATGACATTATATTTAAAAAGACAATAAAAGGAACTATTTTGGAAAAAAAAAACCAGAAAGAATCAGAATGACGTTAATCAGAGTTCTTTGTATGAACCCATCAATCCCAGAAGCTAGAAGACAGGGATACGACGCTTTCCAAATTCCAGGAAGGACTTAATTCTATCCTAGAATTCTATCCCCGGCCGGAAGATCCACTAAGTGTGAGGGTAAGACAAAGACCTGTTAGGACGTGCAAGATGTCAAGAAATTCACCTCAGGAAGAAATTAGTCAGGAAGCTGCTACAGGATGTACTCTATAAAACCACAGAAGAGGAAGACTCAGAATATAAAAAACAAAGGATATGGCAGAGACATTTCTTCCGGAAAAATGACCTGATAGATGCCCTCA